TCAAATGAGCGAATTTCTAACAGTGTATGTGGTTTTCATCTAGTAAAGTCCATTCATTCCAAAATCAAATGTAAAAAGCAAACAAAATCTTTCAAATGGCAAACAAATGTTCTGATAATTTTTTTACAAATTTTCCAAAGACTTTTCCTAACAATTTTCATTCAAAATTCTATCCATCTATGGCCAGCTTTATCTTGAGACCTTTCACTGTCCGTCTTTCCAGTAAACAGTTGAGCAATGACTGCGTTGTTTTCACTCCTACACATTGCTTCTGATTTATGTTACTCAGTCTTTCCAGGTTAAACCTTGATACTTTAGTTTACTACAGTTGGAAAAACAATAGTTTTTTTTGATAATCCAAACAAATAAGGGGTCTGTTCCTCATCCAGGGTAGTGGGAAAGGCCTTGCAGATCATTAATTTTTGCTCCTGGGTCAGCTGTGCTTTTACAATATACAATACAAACAAGGCCATTTAAAGAGTAATTCCACATTTGTTGAGAAAAAATATGGTGATCTGTGTACATTGCAAGGACTTTAAAAAACTTTGTTGCAGATCCCTATCTTTTGTTATGCTGGAGAAAAAACTGTCCACGTGCAGGGTGAATCTGTATGGGAGTGGTTTTGTAATTATTAATCAGCTGCTGGACCTATGGTGCTCTAATGAGGAAAATTGCAACATCTGCATCCCTTTAGACATATTTTCCCTTTGAGAGAATCTCACCAAAAATGCCATTTTGTTGTAGGGGATGCTCAAAATCAAATTTGTATCTTAGTGCAGAATCCTGTGAAAGTCTGTTAGCCAATCCCACCAGCAGGAAATGGCATGCCTGGGGGGCATGCCTGTACACAATCTGTGTAAAAAACACCTCCAGATTGCCATATTGCAATTCATTTTACAAGGATTACAGCATTGCAGTTTGAAATAGAAAGGTAATTTTTAAAACCATTCAATAACAATATGACTAGTGTCGCAATTGTTTAAACTATATTATTTTTTTATTTGCTCATTTTTTTTCCCATCAAAGTGGAGTAACCATTTTACTACAGCCTCAGCAAAGAGTATCACTCAGTATTTTAGTGTTATCTCAAAATGCTACATATATGCTTGCTCTGTATATGATCTATTTGGGGTTTAATTGTGAATGCATTATTTTAGTTTTGAAATAATACTGAAATACTGAAATTCTACAAACACTACTGAGCGAATGTATGTGCATCTTTTATATACCATTTGAAATGAACTATTACAAAATTGCAAAAATTACATAAATGAACTATTACAAAATTGTCCAAACAGTGCAGATTGGTTTTACAGAAATAAAGCCCAAAGCAGTGAGTATGTAATAATGTTGTAGAAAAATAACAGGGGTACACATAATACAAGAGGGGGTGTTTTGGCAAATTTACTACAGTAAACTGGAAAAGGGACAGAGGCTTATAAGCAATTGATGACCAAATGACACTTCTAAGGAGCAGTTAATATTTCCAAAAAAGTTTGCAGTTAGAAAGTAGTATAAAGAAAACTTATAGTTCTCATCTTGGCAAGCACAATATCCAAAATATTACAACCAGTCCCAAAGAGACCACATCCCATATACAGTATATATGAAGCTAGACAGGAAAACAATGAAAATCATAATTACAATACTCCAAATCATATCATTAAAACATCACTTTTTATTTGACTGAATATACAAACACATACAAAATGCATATTCTCAAACAAGATACAGAGAAATGGTATGTTAAGACATCACAAATGTATGCATCGAAACAGATTACCCTTTAAACATCCAATGAAGAAAATTTATATGGCGGCGACATTTTGTAATGTTTCTCAGACCTTAGTCTGCTTCTTCATAACAGTTTGGGGACACATCTGAGCATAATATACAAATGACATTAGAAAACATACTGTATATTTATTATAACAAATATAATTTAGTATCATAACTTGTCACTTATAGCGTCATGTGTCAGCATCCATATGTCACAAGAAAGACTGTAGGGGATATAAAAAGCAGTGCTAAAATCTGTCACAAATATCCAGAAATAATCATATAACATCCTTAGGCCAGATTCATCCCAAGGTCATATAGTACAGTATATCAAAATAATTAAATGTACCTTTGTAAATAAAATGATATAAGAAAATATTATTCTAGAAAATTGCCATGGTAACACAAAGAATTATGTGGTCGTCATATACAGAGATATTGAAGCAAGGGGAAAACTGGCATCGACTGTAGGAAATACAAAAACAAAATATATTTATATGAGTTATATGTGAGTTTATATAAACAATAAATAAATATCACTATGACAGTTATGTATAAATACAGTACCTCCAATTTAAAAATCCAAAAAGTGGGAAAATTAATGTATGGAGTCAGAATCCAAATCCAATGGTACTGGATAACAAATGGCATCCAGATTTTAATTCTCCCAAAGGTACAGATATTTCTATAAAAAAGTACAGTATATCACATAAAGTTTATATTTAAATCATCTCAGGTAGATGAATATCAAATGTAATTTAAATGTTTGTATTGTGTAGTATTCCTCAAATTCAGTATGTCACCAGCAACAGTGCCAATGTTTGAAGGCATCATTGATACATTGTCCCTGTCTCTGATAAGATGCAGAGTTGAGTTGCAGGACACAGTGTGGCACCACCGGTTCCTTGAGTGTGCTCCATCTTACATCCTTCTCAGCATCAGCAAATTTACCCAGTGAGCCGTAAAAGAGATGTAACTTTCCTGCCCATGTTTTCTGTGGTTTGTCTATGTTATGTTTGCCTGTGGTCTTGTGGACTTTGCCACTGACTGTGTACTCGAGTGATACAGGGACATTAGCTTCTACTTGCCGGGAAAGGTCAAGGATGGCCTTATGCATGAAAAGGTCAACTAGGTACCTGTCACTGTGGTGCAGTTCATGCCACAAAGTTGTGAAAGGGGGCAGATTCCACTAGCTGGAACAGTAGTAAAGTCAGCAATTTTGCCAAGCTGGCATTGAGATGCTGACTAAAGAAGTGACTTATACAAATAAAAGTGATGTCTTTATGATATTATTCAGGGTTTGTCTAGCTATGGTTTTGGAACATCTAAAAAGTACAGATTTTCAGTGTTTTCTTGTTTTGCTTACTACAGACTTTCATTGTTTCTATGTGTAGAAATCAGTGTGCTTGTAATATTGGCAGAGTGCTACCATGCATAAGACACAGGAATTTGATTGATTCTGTTCATAAGGTTTTCAGTACTACTGTGTTCAATCTGTCACATACCACTAGGCATTTGAGCTTTGGGAGAAAATGTCTTGCTGCTTGAAGCAATTAGTTTCAAAATTTTAATTTTCCAGTACAAAAATAAAAATGTGATTTTGCCTGGTTCTAATGGGCAATACATTTCCGTTTGCTAGTACTCTTTTCATACATACCACTCTCCTCTAGTTCTCTTCCCTTGTGGATCACACATGCCTGCAGCACGAGGGACATTTAGGTGTTATCCAACAGTATCCAACCATCACATACACTGCTCCTTCCCTCAAAACCCCTGACTATCAACAAAACATGTGTGCTAGGCAGTTTTATCTTTGATTTATTTTAAACCTTTCAATACAATAGGTAGTTTGTGCTTTGAAGAGTTATTCTGTTCAGAGTGTTTGGTGAGAAGGCTTTATGTTTTTTTTTGTTTTTTTTTATATGGCTTCATAGGGTTTTCCTGCAGTGTTTTCTTTCTGCCCTGATAATGAGAGGAATTAATTATTTGAACAAAGCAGTGTTTTCATAGCAAATATCAGCTCTCATATTACAGCATGCACCAACTGGGAGGTTTTTTACATGCAAACCCCAGCACACATCCCTGCATCTACAACCTCCCACAGATGGGCATACATGTGTGCACACTCTTTCTGATACAGAAGAAGGTACACATGAACAACCATGAGTGCACATCAACTGTGTAAAAGCATTGGGTGTAGATCTATTATGGAATGTGAGAATGCAATGTTGATTAGGATGTAAATGAAGGTCCTTTAATCATTAAGGCCCCTTTCACACTGATGGTCCAAACGGGTCAACCTGTCAGTTTTTCAGGTGGTCTGGACCATCCATAGACCTCTATGGACCGTCGGGTGTCAGCGGACAAGTGTTCACTGACACCTGCCGGCATCCAATTTAAACCTGTACATCAAAAACAGATGGATGGAGATCCATTCCCCATCTGTCTGGCAGATTGGATGGGATGGCTGTTGGGTAGACATAGACAGGTGGTCCGTTTCCATCCAATCCCATAGAAGACACCGGTCTGTGTCTGCTCTATAGCAGTGGAGAAGACACAGACCTGTCATCCACCTGCTCAGTGAGGATCAGAGGAGAGTAGGTGGATCCACTGATGGGTCCACCCCATCTGAAAGGGGCCTTAAGCTTAACTTTGATAGATATAAAAGACAGAAATTAATTCAGTTCTGTAGCTGAATTTGACTTGTTATCAGCCCCTTGCAGTCCCTTTACAACAGAGTGTGAGAGGAAGAAGCACAAGGTACCAGTCAGGTATTGTGCTGACGAAGAGAATGCTGCTAGGAGGAGAAATTAGAATGAGGATAGATAAGTTGATCAGAGTACTGCTTCTCCTTCAATGTCCAATTACAGGCTGGGTGTAGGTCCATGAGAGGCTGGGCTCAGCCTGTTCTCAACGGAAGTAGGTTGATTAATGCCACTAAATCACCATTAAATCCAGAAGACTGAGAACATATAGTGGAAAAAAACCACTGTAGGGGACTGCATCAGGATTGAAGATGTGTATTGCAGCAAAAGCTGATTTTAGTATTTTATCTTTTAGTAGGCTATTTTTTTCCTGGCTGTTGTTCTAAATTAAGGTTTTAAATGGCTTTACTTACCACTTTGCATTGGAGTGTTCTTTTATACTGGTGACTAGCGCATTAAATAAAAGGTAACCAAGGACGAACTAAATACATAATTTTTTTTTTGCAGACTAACAAAAAAAAGAAGAGCATAACAATGAATAAAATTCAAATCACTTCCTGGAATAATACCGATGACCTACTCAATAAATCATGGAGTATGAGGAATGAAAACCATCTCATTAATACAGCAGAAACAGTTATTCTTCCATCTTTTATTGGAATTATCTGCTCCACTGGATTAGTTGGAAATATCCTAGTGTTGGTCACTATTATAAGGTATGGAGCATTGAGTGCCATGTTTAGTATTTATAGAAAAATTTTTGTTTTAGATTTTGCATGATAGATATTACGATTTTCAGAGAATTGTATGAGCAGAACTGTGTAGATTTTTTCCACTTAACCACACAAATTATTTACTTAATTTTCACATAGTATGCCAGAAATATAATTCCATTTTGGTCATGAGCTTGGATGTGAGCTGACCAAATTATGAGGACACAGATGTGATTTGGAACTATTGAGCAGATATATGTAATTGTTTGGCAAACCACACTAAGCAGCTCACACAATTTTTTCACCTTTCAGCACCTGCCACAACCCTTTCCCCTTGAATTCACTCATGTTGCTTTAAAAATTCTTCACTTCATAGCATCCCTGTGTCTCTCTGTCTATCTGTCCACTTTTTTACCTTATTACAAAAAAAACTGTACTATTTTGGCAGGTATCTTGCTCACATTCGTATGTGATACTACCTTCAGAATAAGAAGTGTATCTTGTGTGACATCACAATTATATAAAAATTGCCTTATTGTCACGTACCTGGTAAACGTTGAGTTAACGAGAGGGCTTCCCTTTACACCTCCTGTCTTGCTTGCCCCTCAAGGTTAATGACAGGGTATGACAGGACACAGAGTGGCACGTGTGACTGTAAAGAGTCCTGGCCAGAAGAAAGTTTGGATCATACAGATGAGATTGAGCAGGAACTTGTGAGGAATGTAATCACAGGAACTTGTAGATCATGAAGCATAGCAGAATATATTGTTGAGTAACATATACAGGATGTCATAACAGGAACTTGTGGAGACAAACCCATGGCCAGGCCAGCAGAAGTTGGCACCAACTGGTCAGTGGAGATGCAGATTTAAGAGACAAGGGAAGACATAAAAGCAAATCAAGGGTCAGTACCACACGTACAGGAAATGGTACCAAGATAATAGGCAAAAGGAAAAGTCAGATTACAACTTGGAGTTCAGGTTGCAGAAAGATCAAAATCAAACAAAGACAGCAAACTGGGTCAAACATTGGAAGAATCAGCAAGCAAGGTCTGATAATAGGTCACAGGAGCTGATGATCACTTAGCAATTATCTTTTTACCTTCATTGCCAGACAGTAACATAAACTCTCTGCTGTGGAGCAAAAAAATGAAACACAGTCAAAGAATTATAGCCTAAATAGGCCACAAGGTCCCCTTCCATCAGAAGATCATATGACCAGAGTGTAACCCCAATAGGATCCTTCCTCAGAACAGCAAGTAGACAATCAAGAGTACATTACTTGGTGACATGTAGACCAACTCAATTACTTATGAATCAATGGGAAAGTTTCATCCTGCAGTAGACGAGTTCGCAACCAGCACTGCCAAACCTTATCAAATTTCCTTGGGCATCCCTAATGTAAGTATGTGGTCTTGTATAAGGGCAAGGATTTATTAATTATACCTTTCCAAAATGACAGAGATGTTAATTATACTTTTCCAAAACAACAGTGGTGCACTTAGCAATTATCTTGAGCTCTGCAGTGCTTTAAATGGGCCAGTAGGCACCAAAGTCAATGCAAGAGTGCATGTTATTATGCACATGCATCGGCACACAAGCGCAGATGCATGCATGCCCCTGATCCTTACTTGTTATCCTATTTACTGTTTTTTAAGCAAGGCAGAGGAGAGATGGTTTAATGCTTCCAGAAATAACATAATCCGGCAACTGTCTCGGTGGCATATTCACAGGCAACAACACTTTTACTATACTGTGCTGGGTACCTAAAGTAGATGGACCCGAGAGGTGTAAGCCAATAGCAAGTTCCTAGGAGATCAGAGCACTTTGAAAGCACAGAAGGAAACTGTAACTGTAGAATGTAGCTCACCAAGGTACTTGAGGACAGTGCCAAAAGAAAGCAGGTGGTGTGGAACCCCCTAAGCAGGGGCGGACTGACCATTTGGAAACTCGGGCACTGCCTGAGGGCCTGGGGTCAGTAGGGGGCCCCATGAGATGCCCCTGGTACCTTTTTCATAGGCTTTTTTGAGTTTGGGCAAGGACACAGGGGCCCCATGATCCCCTATTGCCCGGAGGCCCCATGAGTTGTCAGTCCGCCCATGCCCCTAAGGCATGAAGTCTAAGGGCAAATTGGTATCCACTGTGTTCACCCTGCTCTAGGCATAATGGACAGCAAGGTATGCAGATGAAGAGCTCACCACATGGGTCAGACTGAAGATTGGGGGGACTATGGATCACACTGAATTAGGCAGAAAATGGCAAGACTAGATGGCAAATGCAGAAAACCAGGATATTCACTAGAGGTCAGGGTTGGCAGCAGACATGCATAACCAAGAACAAATCAATGGTCTGTGCAGACAGCGGACAAGGATCAACAGGATACAAAGCTAAAGGTTGGCATGATGTCTACATCATGGGTACAGGTGAGGGTTACTAGTAGAACCCATTACTGAGAAACCATGCATGGCAGCTAGCCATAAGAAGTATTGCTTGGGCAGTGTGCTCAGACCTGTACACTCTATCATAAAATAAAATGACAAACCATGTGCTTGAAGCATCTGTCATTTATTCCTACTCTGTGTTTCATCCAAACATAAACCGTGAAAATTAAACAGGAATATACTTGGGTGGATTTACTGAAGGCAAATAGACTGCTCTTCACAAGTGCAGTTGCACTCTTTTTTCTTAGTAAATGTAAATGCAGTAAAGCATTCTGGCTTGCACATGAGCGCATAATGGAAATCAGCAGAGCTTTACCACAATTACTAAATTCTGGGGAAAATGAGTGCAACTGTACTTGCAGTTTGCAAGTGAATTTGAAAACTGCACAGTCTATTTGCCTTTAGCAAATCAACCCCAATATGTAGCCTGAGTGATGCATTGATGATACTTTACAAAATGTTGACTCTCTACATAAATTTGCATCCCAAAACAAAAATCTGTATAAATTGCTTGCTGAATGACACATTTTACTGAAGTTATCAAATACTGTAGACATGGCTTGGAACCCAGTATCATTCCATATGCTGTACATTGCGATGAAATATATATGAGTGAAGTGCTAATCTAAACTTGTAAAGTACATTAAATTATGATATTTAAAGAACAAACGGCAGGCGGATTTCACCAGGTGCTAACAATATGTGAGAAATGCTGGTCAGCTCCAAGTTGTGCTGCCACCAATATGTGATAATAGCACTATCAGTTTCACCCATCACAGAGATTTTGCAGCTCATGTTACCATCTAAGTGGCCACAGACTAGGAGTGAGAAACACTGGGGTCGGTTAACTACATAGTTAATCTCTTACACACCATCACAGCTGCCAACTTCTGTTTTTATGAAAAACATGAATTGTTTACAATATCTGCATTAAAAATTCAGATTTTTAGGAAGTATCTGTAATATACACTTACACCAGACAAGAAATCCACCATTCAAAAGATTAACAATAAAGTCAAGTAAATTATTTACAGAAAAAGGATATTACAAAATAGACAAGAATGGCAACATAAAAAAAATACAAGGGAATTGAGCGGAGCCGTGACATCATGCTGCTACCAGGAAGTGTGCAGGTGGCCATTTTCTTGGTGGTTTTCAAAGTCTGGTATGCCAGTATTTTTTATACAAAGGACTTTGGAAATGTGTTGTATATTTATTTACTAATTAACTTTTTGAGGGCCAATTCCCACTATAGCAGAGAGTTGTGTTTTTCTTCATAAGTGCAAGTGCACCCTGAAAAGAATGCTTTTCTATGTGCTCTGTTCACACATCCCTACAACTGTCACTTAGGGTGCCTAAATGCACAAAAAAAACCTGCAGCAGGTAGAATCTGACAGTCAGTGTGGAAGGGGGAGGCAATTGCAAGCACATGGCTATTAGCTGCTTTCATGGAGAGCTATACAGGTGCTTGTAATTGCCCCTCCCCCATCACACTGATCACCCTCAACTGTCAGATTCCTCCTGCTCTCTGGGTCCCCCTTATGCTCCCCTGCTCCCCTCATCCCTCTGCAGTGCTGGTGATTTCCCCTTTCTCCTTCTTCTTCCACCAGCTGCTACACGGGATGTGTCAGGATGAGAGAGTAGGGAACATGAACAAAATCAGTGATTGGTACTGAAATTGTAAGCTATAAATGTAAACTTTCCAACATATTTTCCAAAGTAGCATCCGGTCCATCAGTAATCTAAAAAACATAAACGTTCACACAATGTTTCGAGAGATTGCTTTTATTTGTTATTATTTAACTATTTTTAACTTTCTCCCTGATAATAAGCAATAAATATATCATTCAACAGCTTCTTGTCACCCCCGTGATTGCTTCCCCACCCCTATAAGATAGCATCTCCCTGTGTGCTTATTAGATGCAACAGGTTTCTACATCTATGCTGCTAAACACCTTATAAACTAAGACAAAAATGTATTTTTTTTATACTCAAAATCAGTTTGCTGGGTAGTGCTACCATAACAGTGAATGCATATAAAATCTTCAGGAACTAACCAAACCAATAATAACAATATAAATCAATTCACAAAAACAAATCTAATTTTCCAAATGTCTCTACCTCTCATGTTAAAGAAGGGAACGGTGAAGCTTCCATCTGCTTTACTCAGCTTTTCCCTGCCTAGTTTACCCTTTACTATAACATAATGCATATAAATCATGGGCCTATTGCAAGATTCTTTTGGTATTAATGTTAGAGAATATCCTCAAAATCACAAGTAAAAGCACAAAAGATCAAGTGTTTTAAATGTCTATTTGCAGTGTTTTCCTTTGTATCAATCATTTTTATTCATTTGCAATGTGCCTTTGAACCTCTTCTTGGATTGTGTAATTGCTATTTATGCTGGCCCAGCTCCTCCCTGTTTCCTCTCACCTCCCTGCATAACCATTAAATGAAGCTGGGGTGGGAGGGGTTCAAAAGGAAATGCCATAGAGTGCTTCTGGAGTAACAGCTTTAAGTCTCCTGAAGTTGCTGATGTTAAATCCAAGATGGCAGCACCCAG